AATGGTGGACCTGCCTTTGACAAAAACTAATTAGCACATCTCCCTATTAATAGGAATGGAATTCAATCGTTTAAATCCCAAAAACGTGGACGACAAATTGCGAACACACAAAACACACACACACACACTCCAGTTTTTTTTGAGGTATGCCCAAATGTTCAGAAACGTCTGAAAAGTAAAGATATGAAAAAAATTTCGATTTCGATATTTGGACGATTACAATAACTTAACCTACGAGTAGTTAATATATAAATATATGTGTATATATACTAGCTGGCCCGGCAAATAGTTTTAATAAAATAGTAATAAGAAGTGATAGTAATAAAAAATATTTCTAGAAATTTTTTTGAATGAAAAATAACTAACTATAAGTGGTATATAAGTGAAAGAGGCGGCTAATACAAAGTAAATTGATGGTTTACCCAGTGCAACGCATGCCACATATAATTATTTCTAATTTTAATAGTAATTGCAAGTGCCAGCTTAATCCGAAATTGATTTCGTTTTAGTTTTTGTTGGCACATTTTGCTTTTTAAGGTTTTTTATACTATTACCGCGCTTTTCATTAATTTATTCTTTTTTTTAAGTCTGAAGCATAATACGAAACTTTCATTTTGAATTATGTTATGGCATGCCCAGTGAATTGACAGATTTCAAAAATTCAGTGAAAACCTAGTGTTTTTCATTGAAATCATTAAGAGTTAAAATTGACCCCGAAATTGAAAAAAACCGTTAGGGTCGTACAACCCTTAATAAAATTATTTTTTTAAGTTAGATTTAACCTTTTTTATAATCTCAATAAATCTAAATTAAAATTGAGTCAAAATCATTCATTGACTGCAGCTGAATGAAAAATTATTTGATTAATAAAATGATTATTACGAAACAGGGGTAAGAGGGCCATAATTTAGTGGTTTAATTACAAATTCCAAAAAAAAAATGGTCCAAAAACTAAAAAAAAAATTGAGACTGATCTTATATTTAATTAATACAGTCAAAGATGTTAAAGTTTTTTTGAAAGATATCTCAATTTATTGAAAGAAATATCAATTTTTATTAACTTATTAACTTGTGATTGACGTTTATTCTCGTCATGGAGAAGTGACACAGAATTTTGTGTTCTGACGAGAATATTCGTCATGCCTATAGAACAGTTGCTATTAGATTATTAATTCTGTCACTCAACAATTAATCGCCAAAAAAAACGGCTTGACCGATTTTCAACTAACTAAATGTATTTTTAAATATATTTATTCAAATTGAAGTTTTTAAAACTGATTATATGTCAGTTGCTGTAATGTACGTAAATCATATTATATAACTTTAACACATATCGTAATAAATTAAATATATATTTTTTTCTCATATATATTAGAGTTAGGTCGTTGGCTCCTCGTCTATTATCGACCCGCACAATCGTTTTATTCTAATGCCTATTTGCATAAGATGCACTTAAAACAAAACAACTTTAATGACAACTATTACTATTAAAAACTTCCATTGAGAGAAGAAACGATGTGCATTTTTATTGCATTAGACTTACATTAGAAAATACACACTAAAAAAATAAATAATACATTTTTATAATTAAACCACTTTTCGTGGGCCTATAGTATTTTATGATGTACCTTTAGATAAATAATTAAAAAATCACTCAGTAATTAACTATTTAAAACATTTTTTATCGAGTTTCATCAAATTTTTGAAATCATTAAAGGACAAATTTTGGTTAACACAAATATAAAATCAAATATTCTTATGTCCCTCAGAAATATCGTTGAACTTGATAATCACATTTCTTATTATATATAAAGTTCATATATATTTTAATAAATCTATATTCTATTAATGATTACTTTTCAGTGACATTAGTCATCATAAAAGCAATATAGACATTTAAAAACATTCTTATTATTAAAAATGGACAGTAGAAAGTGAAAATTAATTATGTGACTGTTTAAATTCAGCAGCAAATGGTGTTAACGAAATTAACTTATCCTTGGATTTGTGCCAAACCACCGAAACTGAAACTAGTCGAAGTGAAATAACATAATAAATAAGATTTATTTAATAGAAAACTATTATTTAATTTATTGTGGAGTGTCTGGTTTTTCTTTATGGACAATTTTGAAGTTGCAAAAAGAATGTGCCATCATTACAAATACAGAATTTTGAAGGAAGTTGAAAGACTTAAATAGATAAAAGACTTATAAAAAACTAGAGTTGGAAGTAAATAGTTTTTTGCATGATTAATTAAATTTTGTTAATTATTTTGTTATAACAGTATTTGAACCAGTTTGTGTTTATTAAGTAATGGCTGCCACGTGTTTTTGGCTGAAATTAAAATTAATTTTTATTTAACGTATTTGTTTAAAGAACAGTGTTTTTAGTTATGAATAAACTAAAGTTAGATTTTAAACTAAAAAATTCGGAAATTTAAACAATTTCTGCAAAATTTTTGACAATTGACATTTGAACGAGATGAAGTTGTCCAAAGATGATAAAATTTAATTGAAATTAATGATTTATTATTCTTAAATTATATAACAGTTTATTCAAAAAGGTACGTATATGTCTAATTTAATTAAAACAAGTATTAAATTCATTGTAGACCTTATATTGTTTTCATTTTTATTTTTGAAAATTTGACAATTTAAAAAGTTGACAGTTGAGTGAGTTGAAGTTGAAGTTCTCCATGAAAACATTTGTTGAACAAATTATGATTTCAAAACCGAATTATTAAGAATACAATTAAAATTATATTAATTAATTAAAATTCCTCGTTAATTAAAATGCAAATAAGAGTACTAGTTTCAACTAGTTTAACTAAATGAAAGATAACAAATAAATAAAATATAAGAAATATATAGCACGTAATGCTGGAAAGATATTTCTAAATTTAAATTTGCAATAATAATCAAAATTTTGTGCATATCAATTTAAAAAAGAAAATTAGTTTGATTACAAAATATTATGAACATTTGGTTCTAGTTTAAAATTTTGACGGTTGAAGTTTTGCAAATGGCCGCCGGCTTTTCGACCATAAATTTGTTAATAAAATATGATTAAAACGCCCTTGTGTTAAAAAAAACGTGTAAATTCATCAATATTACATATACTTATAATTAATTACAATAGCAATATCAATTATTATCGAATAATCAATAAATTTCTGATTTTACAATTTGAACTGTCAACAAAATGGATGCCGTTGCGAATGTTCAAAAACATCAACTTATATAAATATTAAATATGTAATGCAATTGTGTTAAAAAACATGTAAATTATTAAAACCTACATGTACTTTCAATATACTATATAAGTTATAACAATTATTATTGGAATTTTGCAAAATTGTTAATAAATTCTTGAATTGACAGTTTATCAAAATGGACGCCGGTGCAAGTTATTAATATAAACATCAACGTATACATATAATATACTCAATAATGCACTTGTGTTGAAAAACGTGAAAATAATCAAAAACCACATGTACTATATAAGTTATAACAATTATTATTGGATTTTTGCAAAATTGTTCATAAATTCTTGAATTGACAGTTTATCAAAATGGACGCCGGTGCTATTTAATAAAAAATCAATAGTAATACAATTATTTCAACGAATTTATGTACGAAACTTGTAAAGTATCTAAAAATATTTGGACTTGTAATTGATTACAATAATAACTTTTATTACAGTTCAATATTTGTAAAATTATAAATGAACATGAGAGTTAACAATTTCAACTGTCAAAATGGATGAAAATTTACACTTGTGTTAAAAACTATTTTAGTAATATTAATTCTCAAAAATTACATACTCGTACAGTTATATTTATTAAAACTTGTGATTAATTATTAAAGCAATTTTTGTTGTTAGTAATTAAATATTTATTAAATTAATAACAAGTATAAATTTGTGTATTGACAGGTTGAACTGTCAAAATGGATGAAAAATAACAATAGTGTTAAAAACTGTTTGTGCTGTATTTATAAACATTAAAGTTAGGTGTTGATAACATATTTAAATCGAGTTATGTGCTAAAATTTTGATTGAAACAAAAACTGAACAGGGGTGTTGTAAACTATTAGTGATTTAAAAAAAAACATCAAAAGACTTTGAAATTAACATAGTTATACTGCCAAAGCTTGTAAATACCCATAGTGATCAATTGTTGGACAAAATGCTATACAATAGCTCCTAAAATTTTGTGATTACTCTGACCTTTATTCTGTGTCAAATTACCCCTGAAAACTTTATTTTTCTCACCATGTACGGTCTTCAGCACCATTTATACCGCCACCAGGCAACCCCCAAAAGTCCAGACTCCGACAATTCCCTAAATGGTTCTGATACCTATTTGCATGCCCTATATTGCGATGATATATCACGAGAAGCCGAAGACAGGCACAAATCTACCCTTTATGACTACAATAGGCACAATTTCCAATTTGCCAGTCAAAGGGTTAGAAGACATACTTATAATGAGAGTAAGATTGTGTACGGGGATTGGAATAAAACTGTTCCGACAGTTTTGGAAAAAAATCTTGGTGGTAAAAGTAGAAGGCATTCTACGAATGGTACTGGTGGTGGTGAGGCTAAGACTCCTAGTCCTACGAATGATGGTTGTTACAGGTATGGTAGCAGAAGGCATTCGACGAACGATGGTAAAATAAGTCCTGAAAGGCGTTTGTCTAATGATTCAGGGGTTTATTCGATGCGTAGACCCTCGAATGAGAGTACTGTAAGTGCCTCGGGTTTACGCAGAAGTTCCTACGAATACTCGGGTTTGCGAAGGAACTCCAACGACTCATCTTGTGGCAGTCCCCATTTGTATGATATACACGAGAACTACTTCGACTCCGGTTCAGATTCGCCCAACCAAAGCTTCACCAGCCGGCAAAGTCCCGGCCTGGACGACCTCACAATATCCTCCTTCAGACGAAACAAGGTCCTCCAAGAACAATCGGCCTTTGCCCAAAGATTGGCAGCCGAAGACAACTCTTTATCGGCTTCGCCCAAATCCAGGAACGGCAACAACCATCACCATCATTCCATCCAGGAACTGGTGAGGCATTTTGGGAAGAAAGTCAGGATTTTTAAAAGTCTCGGGTGTAAAAGCCCGGAGCAGAATCCGGAGCGCAATATCGCTGGTAGTTTAGGAGGGACTTCGCCCTTGAACGAATCTGCTCATGGCGAATTCAGATCTAGATCGAAAAGTTTAGATGTCGATTATGGGAAGGAGGCTTTTGACTGATGATTGTGATACTACGTATAAAATTTATGAAAGCATCTTGCAGGAAGGTATTGGATAAATGATAAATGACTCGCATTTAGTTTTTTTTTTGTTGGAGCGATCTTGTACATTTTTTTAAAAGTGGTCAATGCAAAGGGTTGGTACTGAAAATATACATTCATGATAAAATATATATTTTTACAATTGCTAAAACTTAGCACAAAGATTGTTAAAATATCAAATTATTAAAAAAAATGCATCATATTGGTACATAAGGATCTTATTTTCTAAAAACTAAAATAAACTTATTTTTGAACATTCATTTTACATATTCATATTTATATTTATGTATATATAACTATATTCATAATAATATTTATATATTTATAAAAATCTTTATACAAAAAATTATAAATTTATATATTCATTTCTACCTAATTTTAATTTATTTTTCATTATTTTCAATTTTTTTTTATTTCTCATTATTTTTTTAAATTTCATTTTTCTTTACATTTTAATTTATTTTTCACTATTTTAATTTTTTTTTTATTTTTCGTTATTTTTTTAAATTGATTTTTTTATTACATTTTAATTTTTTTCATTATTTTAATATTTTTTATTTTATTTTAATTTTTTTTAAAATTTATTTTTATTACATTTTTAATTTATTTTTCATTATTTTTAATATTTCTTTCATTTTTCATCATTTTTTTAAAATTATTTTTCATTAAATTTTCAATTCATTTTTCATTATTATTTTTATTTTCATTGCATTTTTTAATTTATTTTTTATTACTTTTAATAATTTTTTTTATTTTTTGAAATTTGTTGTTCATTACATTTTAATTTATTTTTCTTATTTTAATATTTTTTTTTTTATTCCTTATTTTTTTAAATTATTTTTTATTACATTTTAATTTAATTTTTATTATTTTTAAAAATTTATCTTTGTTTTAATGTTTTTCATTATTTTTATTATTTTTATTATTGTTAATTGTTTTATATATTTATATTTTTAACATTCTTATTTATTTTTAAATATACTTCATTATTTTGCATCATTTTTAATATTTTTAAATTCTTTAATATTTTTAATTACTTCTAGTAATTTTATTTTTTTTATATTTTCATATTAAAATGTTTGTTTGTAATTTTCGAATTATTTTTATATTATTATTATATGATTTTTAATTATTGTTATTTTAATATCTTTATTTTTTTAATTTTCATTATTTTGATAATATTTAATATTTTTCTTTTAATTAATTATATTTTAACATGTATTCTATTAATTTTCATTTATTTTTATATACTATTTACATTAATAATTTTTAAAAGTTATAATTATTTTTATTTTAAATATTTTTATTAATTTCAATTATTTTTAATTATTCCTAACATTTTATTCATTGTTTATTTTTATTTTTATATTTTAAAGTTTTAAAATATTTTTTATTTGTAATATTTTGAATTATTTACATTTTTATCATTTTTATTTTTTTTATAAATTTAATTTTAATACTTCTAATTATTTTCATTTTTCATATTTTTAATTTAATTTAATACAAATGTTGCAATAATAAAATATAAATTTATTTTTGAATATTTATCTTTGTATCTTCATAATTATTTTAATATTTTATATAATTCTGATTTTGATGTTGACATATGTATTAACATTCTTATAATCAGAATTTCAGTATTGATTAATACTAAATTTTATATTTAATTATTTTTAAATATTTATATTTAAAAAATTTAAAAATAATCTGGGAAGATCTTTGCATTGGCTACTTATTATTATTATTTTAATCCCTTTCTAAAATATTTTTAACTTTATATTAATTTATAAACATGTATTGCTTTAAAATTAACTATTTAATTATAAAGCATATATACTAAGTTTAATTAAATATTATTAGGAAATTTTCACAATTTTACAATATAATTAATAATATTTTATAAGAATACTTTTTCCCTTATAATGGTGGAGCGATCTTGTACATTTTACTTTTACACAATTTTTTTATAAACACGAATATTTTATATTAACTATGTCATATATATTTATTTTCTATTGATTTTTCCCCAGGTGCGCATATGAGAAGGGCCTCTCAAGAGTTGGAGAGGCGTCGGGCGTCTTTGGGAAGTGGAGCGGGCCTGGCGAGCCCTAGGCCCCGTACGGAGCCCCTGGATCCACATCACGCTGCTATTTTATTCAGGGACTCTCGAGGGGTAAGTGGATCGAGGAAATATATATACATATATATATATTAGGGTGGACCTTAATATGGGCATTTTTGAATTTTCTAGTTTCCAGGGGCTCAAATGCTTCCAAATTGATAAAAAAATCTTCTATAAGTTTTAACTATAATTTTTTTGGAAGCAATAAAATTCGAAAATGTCCATATTAAGGACCACCATAGTATATATATATATATATATATATATATATATATATATATTCGGAGTCTAAGATTGAAATGTCACATAATTTCTTGAAGCAGTTTTCAGCATTTGTTCAAATTTTACGAGAAATTTAAAAAGCGATGGGATCTTGTAATTTTTTAAGAAATGTTGATGCGCTATTTAGGAACCACGTGTTTGTTTCGTTCAGGGCCGTATTGTCAAATCGTTTGTTTGTGACTCCGTCGTTATGCAATTGCAAAAACAACCCCTCGTCGAATCTTTTTTTAATTACGCCCTCCACAAAGCATAGACATACCTATAATTCAAGAACATATATCAATGGTTGCCATTAATTATAATAACAGAATTGACGTCCATCCTAACCAACTAGCATGTCATTTATACCAGAAAGACCAGCCGAAAAAAATAATATCTGGAGACCTAATATATAGTTTAACAAACTATTATACTTCTGTACAACATTTACTATTTATCTACATTTTATTGCTTTTTCCCCATTTGTTTTTTCAGTTTTTTTTTATTATATTAGCTTTAGTAGATATGCCACTGGGGGTATCTACTAATTTGTAAACAATCAATTGTAAACAACTTGTCAGCATTCACTGCTAAATGTAATTATATTTATAGATTGCAGAATAAAATTAAAATAAAAAAAAACGTTTTCTTCAGAATGTAAAATTTAGGGTTGAAAATCTATATTATGGTTTAAATTTTTAATATGCTCGGTTAACATGGTCTTGAATTGTTTGGTATATTTAGAGTTATTTTTGTGTTGATGAAAAGCGTTTACTCAGGTTTTGGCTAGTTTTCCCAATATAAACGAGTTCACAATTAGAGCAATTAATCTGATATAATAAGTTCTTGAGACGTTATATATATATATATATATATATATATATATTATATATAACTGATCGTTTACAACAACAATTTTATTATTATTCCAATTTCTGGCGGTCAAATTTAGAGCCGTTCTATCGGTTTAAAAATAGTTTCCTCCGGTAGGAAAGTGTTGGAAACGCTTTTTGTTCATTGCCAACCGATTCCCGAATTCCCGACAGTCAAACAACAAAGTTGCGGCAAACAGATGCCAATCAAAATATTGGCCAATGGCCAAAAGGCAAAATTGGCGATAAATACTCAATTGGGGTAAATTAGTACATATTCTAATTATAATAAATTTTTAAGCCGGTCCAGCTGTAACAAACGAATGATAAATGGACATTTCATATGAATTTTGTGAAATTTTCAACATTGTATTTATAAAATAATTTTTTTAAAATACTGATTTTTTACTTTTTTATATCCATTATTTCTAATCTAATTATTTCTACATACAATGTTATGTGGGCGCCGTCGCCACCGTTCTGTTTTTATCATACGTGACACGACTACGTAACTTTTCATCGTCTTCGAGTTCATGTTAGTTTCAATAATATTTGTTAATTTATGCGGAAAATTATTTACACATTATTGTATCATAACATACATTCCATTGTAAAAATAAATATTGTTATTCTTGTGATGGATCAATTGCGTTTCGGCACAAAAGCACAAACATTATCCGGATTTTACATTACACTTTTTAGTATTATATACGCATAGGTTCAAATTTATTGATTAAGACATATAAAGTCGTCGCTATATAATAATATACATTTAATATAAAATCTTACATAAGTTTGACAAAAGCTGAATAATTTTTTTTTATATTGTTTATAAATAAACAAATTTTTGTCAGCGTTTTTTTCAGCTCTGAACAGTTATGATAACATATATGTATTTATTTTAGTTACTGATTTTAATTACTAAAGTATAGCAGGATAATTAGTTAGTTAAAATTAACTTCATTTATTACATTAATTTATTATTTATTATTGTATTTATGGCAAATGGTTTTAATGATAATTTTTAATTTTGTTACAGTTGCCTGTGGCTGATCCGTTCCTGAAAAAGTCAATTTGTCAGATTTAGGTGAGTTTTTTCATGTTTAGTTATTTATCCATATATTAAGATAGTCTTTAAAATGGATATTTTCGAATTTTTTTGCTCCCAGGGACTCAAATGGTTCCAAATTGATAGAAAAAAATTATCTGAAAGTTTCAGCTTTTAATATTAACTTTAAGATAGTCCGCACTCCAGCCAAAGTTTCTTATTGAAATAACATGGAGAAATTACATTCGTTTTTTAGAATTTTCTAACTTAGTAATAAGCGTATGAAAAGTTAGAATACGTGTAATGTTTTATTGAAAATTCGACGAAAGAAGATCTCTTAAAATTTGATGTTGAATCTATTTACTTAGGAGATATTCGAGCTCAAAGTTTATATATTCTCAATTTGTATGAAGTTCTTAAATAGTATTTGTGGTAAAAAAATTTATTTACAAAATATTGAAAAATCAAGTTTGAGTTATTGAAATTAAGTGCCGGTTTTTAAATAAAAATAAATCTTAGTATACGTATATATTATACATTAAACGTAAAACCGTATGAGCATAAACGTCATTAACCTGAAAGGAGGGGTAGGTTCTGGTTCAAAAAACATTCGATTTCTATTGATAGGAAGATGTGCTGATTAGTTTTTGACAAAGGCAGTTCGAGCCGTTCGGAGATACGGAGCAAAGAGTACAGAAAATAGAAATCCGTGTTTTTGAGAGTACGGAGCATACGATTTAAATGATTCAAAAAAACATTCAATTCGTATGATGGGGAGAAGTGGTGTTTATTTTTTGGCAAGAGGCATGTCTAGCCGTTTCGGAGATACGGGCTAAATGTGCCAAAAAATGACTTGGTGTGCTTTGGGTCAAATTCTTTACTATTTTTAACAAAAATATTTTTGCTCAATTTTTTTCACAAATATTTAATTCTAGTACGGGTAGTTTTAGCAACTTGCCTTAAGGCGCGATGCCATACACCACTAGTCTAAATTGTTCAGGACAGTTAATATCAAACTATTACCTCGTTGACGTTGATTTCTGGGACACCCTGTATACACAAGTAACCTTCGCATAACACGGTACTTTTATAACACGGATTCGCTCTAACATGGTTT